GAGCCTTATCCTGATCATCCAGACAGAGTCTGTCTGGTCGCTGCTACTGGGAAGTTGAGCGGATGACAAACAGCAGGATTGAAGTAGGAGTGACTTACAAAGGAATCGTCCGGAAAGGAGACCATGATAATGAGAGTCTGCTTGGACGCAACAACAAGTCCTGGACTCTGTACTGCTGTGATGATGTGTACTCTCGCTGGCATGATGCCAACGCCATTGGCCTGCCATTACCCGCCTCCCGCTCCCTCAGAGTAGGAGTGTACCTGGACTGGGAGACTGGTGTCCTGTCCTTCTACAGCGTTGCCTCCGGTGAACTGACCCTCCTGCATAGATTCACATGCACGTTCACTGAGCCCCTCTATGCAGGATTTTGGGTTTATACTCATTCTGCAATGTCCCTGTGTTTATAGTGAATGTACATAATTAAAATATTAACTGATAATGGAAAAACTCAGACATTCTTTCGAATCTGTAAATACTGAATTCTGTATAGTTACAGGGCGTAAAGGTTTCTGGGTTACAGAAATTATAGCAGCCACGAACTCCAGACTGCAGAGTTACAATGCACCTCATTAAATTGGTCACAATATGTGTAACACTATGTTTATATAGCCTAAGCATGCAATGTATATTCAATATGATGTTCTGATAATGCCTGCTCACTCATTTAAATCAAACAAAATATCTAAATATTTCTATGTATTTCATTGTGCGTCAATAAAGCATCATAAGTAATTTGTTGCAATGTCAGTAATTGATTCCAAGATAGTGTCAGCTACAATCTGGCATGATTCCATATATAATACAATATAGTTTGGGGAATATGCCTGTGTAAACGGGAATGTTATAGTTGTGGAGCTGGGTCTTTTTGGTGTTTTTTTTTATACAATTCTTATTGTATTGGAGAGAAACCAGACAACCTGGGCCTGAAGTGGGTCAGTACTCAGCAGTACGCAGTACCAGAATCCCTTTGTTTTTCTCTTCGGAGTACCAGGATCTCTTAATATCAGCTGGTACTAAATATGAAGGGAGGTTCCAGCACCAGGTACTGAATAAGAAGGGGAGTACCAGTCTCTGGTACTAAATAACAA